GGTCCGTAAAGAAGTGTCGATCAGTTCAAAATGACATAAGACCAGGTTCTTTTGAATAACCTATAGAATTGCACCATGGCCCGTAGGCCGTAGCGCTGTAGCGGAATAACCTCGTATCACTACTTAAATATGTAGCAGGCGCCAGGCGCTACCGCTACCGCTGCATTGCCTTAAATGTAGAGCCGCTACATGTAGCGCGCCTAGTATGGAATATATCTACTTGGCGAGCCGCGACTGAATTTTTTGAGCCGTGGTTTTATGGATTTGCCAGCCGTGATTCCATTTCTACGAGCCTTGATTCTTTTTCACTGAGCCGTGAATTCCATATCTCGGCCATGAAAAGCCATTTACGAGAAGGTACCTACTGAAATTATATGATATTAGAGCCGCGATATTTCAGACAAAAATAGGACTTTTCCAGACTAGTAGCGCGCTACTGCGCACCTCTGCGTCTGCCTATGGCTAAGGGAGGTGGTTGTGAAAGAGATGGAATTCCACTGGGCACTGGGATTGAAAGAGGAATTTCCTCTTTCAATCCCAGTGCCCTCGTGAAAACTCGTTACTTTCCTCTGCGGAAAGTAACGAGTTTTCATGGCTGGAGCAAGTGCTTCCATCTGAGTCTGAATGATTAGAAGCTCCACTTTGCTTTCTCCGTTTATTTTTGCCCATCGTGTCCACTGTCCAGCGGACCAGCACCACAACTTCACAAGGCACAAGGCTGACACAGGGCAACCGCCCTTCAACCGTCAACGGATTACGAAAAAAAATAATAATAGTTTTGATAAATGATAAGTGTAAACAATGCTGAGAAATAATTACAACTTTACAGTGGAGAAGAGCAAGTCAGTTGCGAGTTGCCTTTCCTTTGTTGGAGTTCGAGCATCGAAGCTAGCGCACAGCCGCACACACCATACGTGATACGTCTTGTCCTCACGGATACATACAAATAATACAATAATAACGGCAGCTGACTTTTTCGCCGCTGAAGTGAAAAAACGTGGCAAACAAACGATCCGTCAATGGTGGCGGAGCATTTGATGAGTCCGTAATTTCAGGAGCAATTAGTGTAACAGATAATCACTATAAATCACTTGTGTAATAATGTAATGATTTCGTGCCGATCTTCAATAAAGATCTCCCAATTAACACAATTACTTCAATTTGAATGAAAAGTGAGCACTTTAATTATGAACATTGAACAAAGTTAACGTGGATATAGGTTTAGAGCATAGTTACAGGACCTTGTCCGAGAGGTGCTTCTTGTGATCTTCTATCCGGTTTGGCTTCTCCCTCTGCAGTTGTCTGAATACACAAACTAGTTCTTGCTTCTATCCCAAAACAAGTCTGCTCTTAATTAATTTGTACGCTGCTACAGGATCGTCGACACCTGAACTTATCCTACGTTCCACACATTGGTTACTCTTGTTCTTATTCTCCCTCTGTTTCCCGAAGTACTCCTCAATATTAAGCTAAGATTCCTACAAATAAGAAGCACAACCTTTCGTATTATGTAAATTCTAACTCTGAGTGCGTGAGGACTCCAAACAAACACAGCTCTAATAATGCGATAATGATCGTGCCAGGTTTTGAGGTTCAAAGCTAATATCTCGGTTAATAAGTTATCAACATAACATAAGTTATGTTGATAACATAACATGAACCTATGAAACTTGAAGCGGTCTTAGACAAAAATTCAAGGCCAAAAAATTACCTCCCAGAAAAACACGACCATCAGACGTACCTTTCTAAAATGCATTGATTTTTTATTAATATAAACATTGTCTTCAAGCGTCAATGATCATCAGCAAATTTTTATATTTTTCGGCGTCTGCAGAGCGCTCTCACTGTGTAGTTCGGGTCGGTTTGGCATGTACAGTCGTTGATTGAAGCACCATTCTTCTATCTTCTCGGTGATATAGGTAATCTTGACAGTTTCATCTGATCCGAGAAAAAAGGCAGACTAGCTATCGTACTGGGTGCTGAGGATTAGGGTAACATGGGGCAAGGGGACCACTGCGGGTCATGGGCCCATAGCGGGTTTCTCGTTAAGTATGGCAAATATCGGTCTGTGCGCTCAACCGACGGTCGACAGTTTCACTGGGTGAAGTGTGGCTCTACGTTTTGCTAAGAGTTTGCATTGGTAAGTTACTTGTAAATAACTGTTTTAGCCCAGATAAGTTTTTTTTGTGCTAAATAGAACCGTGTTAGATTACCATATATGAAGCTTTTGAAAGTACTCTGAATTATATTATTAGGGTATCATAGTGACAAACCAGAGATTTTTTAGAATCAGTTCATTTTTAATTTCCTCATTTACTCAAGATTTTAACCAATTTCTTAAGTATGATAATGCTGGTACGTATCCACTATCCATGATACTTTACTGGTCTACTTATAGGACTCAAAAATGAACTTGAGATAAATCCGTACACTTCATCCCAGTGAAACTGTCGACCGGCGGTAGAGAACACGGACCAATATCTGCCATACCTAGCGAGAAACCCGCTATGGGCCCATGACCCGCAGTGGGCTCGCTGCCCCATGTTACCCTATTAGCTATTAATATAGAATGTTGACACGACATAAATTGAAATGATGCCTAGCGGGGGAACGGGCCCATGTTTGTCACGGGACAAAGCGCCCATTGTGGGCTCATTACCCCTTTGTGAAGTCTTGTGGTATACATTATTAGATTTGTCTCAATACACTCTACAAAACTATGTCTACCTTTTTACAACACTGCTCTTTAACTTCACTTCATGTTGTTTGTTTGTCTGCAACAAATCTTATAATCGATATTTAACACACTTCTGCTTCTCCAATCGATCTGAAAATTTGCACACTTGCGTAAAGTCGGAGACAATGTAGAATCAATTGACAGAAATAATTTTGAAAATTTCAATTTTTTCTATAATAAAAAAATGAAAATGAATTTTTTTAATATATTAAAATAAAATTAGAAATTCATTGTACATGTGTGACATCGGAGACACTAGATTCGTTAAAAATGTTGTATTTAAAAAGTAATTTTTAAACGCATATTATTGAATGACAAATTTTACCTGATATTCGATTGTATGACTTTTTGATTTGCCGCCTCAAGGCAGCAGGTTCTAGTTTCTAATTATTTATGAACCTTTATCTTTCTTTCACCCTTACAACATGATGCGCAACTGTAAAAGGAAGACCAATACAGCCAACTATTTTCCAACTAAACTCCAGAATGTCTTGGAGGAAATCAGGAATGACAAATTACCGAGAGTTAAAATTGCCAAGTAAACGCAGCGTCGGCACAAGACGGCAAGGTGAAGCAACCTGGAGTTCTTTGTTTAGGAAGATACGAGAAGTACATCCCTGAAGATGCGGAAGTAGCAACAGCTACCCTACGGGCATTAGAGATAAGCAAAAAATACAACTCCGTACTCACTGCAGTGAGTGACAGAGAGCGCATTTTCTCGTCGACGAAAACGTGGTCACGAACGGACAGACGGACGGACAGACAGACGGACATGGCGAGCACAATAGTGCATTTTTCCGTAAATGAGAGAATGCGCTAAAAAGAATGCTTGGACTGACATATACAGATGTGTGGAGAATTGCAATTAGTATTGCTGAGCGACAAAATAAAAATAACATAGTTAACAAGCGAAAAATAAAAAGAGAGCTGGCAGTGATTGGCTTAAGAATTTTAAGGAGCCTCACAATATAAGTATTCGCATTCCTCAACCAACTAGTTTGGACCGAGTTGTTGACTTTTGCCACTAGTAAAGTTTGTTGCAAAAGTTGATTTAAGCCAATATCAATGAGCCAAAAGTTGATGAGTTTTTATGGTGTTGGCTGGTGTTTTTATGGCTCATGGTGTTCCATGAGTAAGGAGGAATTCCTTGCACATAGTATCTGGATTATGGACTAAACTGGAACGACATTTTTTTCTGGTCATGTAAATATATTATTTCTAGCCATGGATGCATTTTTTTATGTCAAGGATACGTATTTTTTATGTCAAGGAAATAATTTTTTTTCATGTCAGTGCCACGTTTTCAAGCCAAGAGATATATTTTTGTCAATTTAAGGACATAATTTTTCAAGTTGTCAATAAATGAATGAATGCCATATTTTTTATTACATTTTTGTTATTTGAACTGTAAAGTGCTGTATTATCATACTTAAAAGAAAAAATATGCAATTGGGGTTAAGAGAATGTTCCAAGACGTGCAACAAGGATAATTCCAGGCTTGAAGGGCAAGTCCTATGAAGAAAGATTGAAGATTATGAAGCTTCCAAGCCTCAGTTATCGACGTCTGCGTGGGGACCTCATTGAAGTATACAAGTATACTCATGGTTTATACAAGGTCCCCGAAGGATTACTAGAATTTGAAACAAGAACCAACACCAGGGGCCACGGCTATAAATTAAAAAAATTGCGCTGCAACTTCTCCACGCGACAAAATTTCTTCTCGCTTCGAATCACCGACATGTGGATCGAACAGCCTCCCCGATGACATCGTTGGCGCTCCAAGTATGAACGCGTTCAAGAACAGACTAGATAAAGCTATGGAAAAATATATGTTCAGATTTGAAATGCCTAGCACCATATCGAACCCGGTGGAAGTCTAGTTGCTACTTGAAACTATCGTCAGTCATGAAAAGATCCGGTCAAATGAAACAATATTAGATCTTCTGTGAACAAGGCACGAAAAGGAAAAGAATCGGTGACAGGCCACATCAGGCCTACACTTCAGCGCCGAGATCAATATGTTATGTTATGTTAAGAGACCAGGGGATGGCACCTTGCCCAAGCCCATTGTCCTAAGGGTGGAGCAATGGGCCCATTTTAACAACTAAAAAAATAATTTTTCATTAAAAATTGGATAATTCTATAGGCGTCTAATTCAAATCATACATTTCTCATTAGTTGTAACTTTAAACAAAACAAAGAACCACCACGTATCTATTAAAAACTTGATCAAAAATTTAGTTTAAAAAAGGAGTGGGCCCGCTGCCCCATGTTACCCCTACTGGCTGCTTCAAGGGTCGCTAGCAAGTGGCGGCCAGTAAATTGAATCAAGGTTGAGTTTAACGAAGAAGATTAAAATTCAATCATTCAGGTGTCGCATATAATGCACATGCATGGGACATAGATGATGATTCAGCCTGTAACCTTCGGTGAAGTTTCACATCAAGCAGGAATATATATTTTTAAAGATTAAGTTGTTAAAAATGTTAAATTCGACGTTACAGACATAATGTTTGTGTATAATATGTTATACGCATACACTGCAAAAAACAAATCGATGCACAATTATACATGCAAGAAAAGATTCTGACAGTTATCATATGAAGTTTCCGTCAGATTCGAAATAACGAGGAGCATCAGTTCGTTAGAAAATAATGTCTGCAATCCCAGCATTCATATTGTCGTACTAATAAATATTCATTAACTTATATATTGATGTTTTGATTACATTTACAACTCAAAATCTAACGCATTTTACTATGAAGTTACTCAAGTTAATTGAAACAGTTATAATTGACATATTTATTCAGTGTCAATTGAACAAGAATTGAAATGCAACAAGCATATTCTTTGGGCACTTTTGAATAGAATAAATCAATGCCACACCATGAAATAGTTGAAAAAGTAATTATTGGTGAATACGATCATATAGATTATTTGGAAATTCTCCTGATTACGAACCAAACACCAGCTACTGCTGCCGCCGCAGTCAGGATGGACCATCCCCATCCGTTCTTCTTCTCTGGAGGAGCTGCAACTCGAGCTGGATATATACTCCTTTCATATGTTGGCCATGCATATTCTGACCATTCATCTCCTGCACTTTCATATCCTGTATGAACAGAAAGAGATGAATAGCTATAAGATGAATTGAGATCGTAATTTATGGAGTCTGAATTAGAAATATTTTTCTTTCTGGAAACAGACTTCTTTCTGGAAACAGTTTTCTTTCTGGAAACAGATTTCTTTCGGCCTATTTCGGTAGCGCTACCAGTACTCTGGAATACCGCATCAATCTTCTTCTCGCACTCAGCCACAGTCCATTGGTAGGGACACACGAGGTTTTGAGCGGCGTTGAACTTAAAGCATTTATTTCCCTGAATTATTGACTCTGGTCCGTAAGTCCTAGCATTTCCTACGTGAGGGTTTGCCTCAGTATGGTTGTTGGCAACCTGCCTACAGTTCAAGTAAAACCACCTCGCATCTGCATCATTAACTTCGATCGCGATTTCCAGAACGTGAGGGCCATTGCGAACTTTGTTCATGCAGTGCGACACATAAATAAAACCAGGCCGACAATTTTGCAAGGGCGAATGAAATGAATTTAAATCAACTTTCCTGAACCTTCCGTGATATTTTTTCCTAGTTAACAAGACCCGAGTACAACTTCTCGAGTTAAAAACTGCCTGATCGATGAAGTAGAGGTTTGGTCCGAGTTTCTGTAGCACGGTCTCCCACTTGATGGTGAAGCTGACGTTGCCAAAGAAATTGTGATCAGAGCTTGAATGCGAAGGAGCGAACCACAATACCTGAAAATTCAATATGTTATTGCAGATTTGGCAAAGAAAATAAATGAGAAAATAATCCAATAGAGGGACTGTACGAAATGCTTTTATTTGAGTGTGCAAAAATTGAAGTAAGGGCATTTAGACAGATTCATCTGGTTAATATTGATCTCCGCAGGAGTTTTTCCGTAAATTTAACGAGATTGTTAGAGTAAAGAAGCCGAAATGCAACGTTATATAAAATTACAATAGTAAATTGAAATAGACAGAAAAAAAGACATGTACAAGATATCAGTGACGTACTCGACACCGCAGTTTCTTTAGGCCGTTGGTGACGCGTTGCGGAACCAGCATTTCTTTTTTAACGGCCTCCTTGAAGTCATCGAAGTGAACGCATCGGCTAATTTCATCGAGATTAGCATAAGTCGGATTGACTAAAGGCTTCACTGCTTGAAAACTTGTCCAGCTGTCCATTTCGTTGAGACGGTTCAAACAGTTCAGTATTGTGGGTTGGTTGAGAATTTATTGGAATGTTAATCTGCTTTCTGCTTGAAGGCAAAGGATAGAATTAGGAAAAAATGTGTTGAGTTTCTGAAATGAGATTTTTCTACGTGCTACACTGCCTTGAATTTCACAAAGGCAGCCTCCAAAGAAGGAATCAATCATGCATATATTCAAATTAAAAAATGAACTCAAATTAATTTCGGTAGGTGCGAAAGTAAGCACATTTACGGACTACAGACGGAAACATCCAAACGCCGTAACGGCATTACAAGGCCACTTCGGTCGCCACAGCACCCATGTTGCTGGCTTTCAATAAGAACGATTCATTTTTACGAACACTGTACTGCAATTTTCTAGCGATATAGGATTTACTTCGTAGTTATAATGATGCAATGGAAGCCTACACTTACCGGCCTACAAATCATAGTTCAGACTTCAGACCAGTATTATTGGTTTTATTGAAGAGCTGCGAGAAAGGAGACGAACCTGTTGTATGTCAACTTATTTGTCATTGATATATGCACTTGTTTCACACATTTATAATCCGACAAGAGAAAGTTGCACGCTGAACGGTACCAACTGGACCAAAATTTATAAAATAAACCCACTGCGTGCATGCAACATGTACGAGACTACATAGGAGGTTGCACAAATTTTTGCCAATTTAGGTTTTGTACATCGGCGATCTCAGTTTCTCCTCGAGAAGCTGAGAACCTGAGATTACATCATCTAGATAATATAAGAGTCCAAAAATGTTTGGATGTCATCGCGGAAAATAGTTGAGAATAGTGAATCGAGTACCAGTTACGCCACTCAAAAGTCACTACACAAGCATTTAGTTTGTCCAGTTGGTAAGCGTCTCACTAGTGTTCAGAGCTACTTCACAGTTTTATTTTCAACGTGTCCTTCAGTTGAAACTTGTTAATCGAGAAACAATTTTACTAAAGATCGATTTGAAAAATAACATCACACTATTACACCGTAGTTATGATAAACAAGAACAATACTGCGACTGGTAACGACGGCACGACGCCTTATGGCGTCGCACCCATCGCTGATTCACAGCTGATAACCTTGGCCGGGACGCTGAAGTTGCAGGAATCCCCGTTTGCGCGTTTGTGACGCGTCTAAAAGAGTGACACACACGTAATTTATTTTGTTACTGACATTTACTAAAATATTATTGCTTATAAAACACTACTGTCATGCGAGTAGATGAATTCTAAGCTTTCTATGTCATTTAGTTGATTTGTATGTACTTTACATTAAACTAGAACAATAAAAAGAGTATAAATCGAAACCTTTTTGTGGAAGCTCGTGGTTTTAACAAATTCATTTAATATTAAGGAATTTTTGCTTGAATCTCTTGAATAATTCATATCCCACACAGAACTGTACAATCATTTTTATTTTAAATAATTAACAGAAGCATGTCTCAATGAGATCTGTTCTGGGAGTAGAAACAATTAATCCTAAACAGAAAACGGGACAGAAAACTTTTAATATAGGGAGCTTTTGTATATTTTGCGTTTTGGGATCATAAAGAATTGCTCGTTCCCATCATAACATACCATAACATAACAAAACATCGCATAACAAAACATAACATTACATAAATCATTACGATAGTTTGAAACAACTACTAGACTTCCACTGGGTTCGATGTGGTGTTAGGCATTTCAAGTCTGAACATATATATTTTTCCATACCTTCATCTATTCTGTTCTTTCTTGAACGCGTTCATACTCGGAGCGCCAACGATGTAATCGGGGAAGCTGTTCCACATGTCAGTGATTGCAATGCAGTTTTTTAGTTTATAGTCGTGGTCCCTGATGTTGGTTCGTGTTTCAAATTCTAGTAATCCTTCTGGAACCTAGTATAAACCATGAGTATACTTGTATACTTCAATAAGGTCCCCACGCAGACGTTGATAACAGAGACATGGAAGCTTCATAATCTTTAACATTTCTTCATAGGACTTGCCCTTCAAGCCTAGAATTATCCTTGTTACACGTTTTTGAACATTCTCTATTAAATTATTGTATTTTTCAAGTTTCTGTGACCACACGGCGTTTCCAAACTCTAGGTTCGGGCGCATGTACACAACAAAAAACAACTGCTTCATCGCTTCTGCATTTAGGAACTTGTAAGAGTGTCTGATCAGTCCAAGAAGTTTGTTGGATTTATTAGATCTTGCGTTTCAACATGCTTAGAAAATTCCAGCTCCTTGTCGACATAAACTCCCAAATCTTTTTCCACGCTAGGCTTTTCGATCATTACTCTCTCGTTGCAGCCATGTCTTCTCATACCGTAATCTTGCTGTTCCTTGTTCTTCCCGAGGTGAAATACTTTACACTTGAAAGCAATAGAAGGCAGCTGTCACTCATCAGCCCAGTTAACTAAACCGTTAAGATCATCTTGCAATTGCGCTTTATTTGACGCATCCTTCACTGTATAATAAATTTTTGTGTCATCAGCATACACGGAGCACAAGCTGGACGACACAAGCTACATCTGGCAATCTGGCAGATCGATAATGAAAGCAACGAACAAATTAGACCTTGAACGCTTCCTTGTGGCCGCCTGGTCCACATGACTTGTTGGGATTTAGAGCTAAACCAGGCGCTTGAGAACCTCTTCTTCATGTACCATTTCAAATTCTGTTAACTTCGAGCCGACACTGCTTAAGAACTGATTAAGAACGGTAGCCTTGCCCTAATCAGAGGAAAGCATTCGTTGGTCTACTTTCAAATCAGATATACCGTCGTTTGTCATACACTTCGAAATAGCGTGCGAAAAGAAGGCTTTCTGATTCTTTTTTGCATTTTTAGCAATAGTTTTCGAAGTTTTTCAGTGCAGTGCGACAGACTTTTTTAGCTTAATTTTGAGCTCTTGCAAACAGGCTGTAATCAGAATCGCTGCGAGTTTGTAAATAACGCTTGTAGGCTTCTTTCCAGATCTATAACTGAGCTTTAACTGAACTGTTCATCCACTGGACATTTCTACTCCTCCAAGAGTAATCTTAGGTACACAGGTATCAACTGCAGACATAACCGTGTCTTTGAGAGAAGACCATAAATCAGCCACATTCATGTCCTCAACACAGTCCGAAATATTCGCCGCATTCACCGCTTCACGGAGTTTATCATAGTCGCCTTTCGCAAAGTTCAAGCGTTTACGGTTCCGAAGCATCTTTTCTGCACAGCACTTAATACTGATAAAAAATGAATGGTGGTGGCTTTTGCCCAACGGAGCCTTGTGGCGAAGCTCATCTAACATTGATCCTTAACTAGTAAACACCAGATCTAGAATATTTGGGATCTGTTTACCCCTGAAATGGGTTTGCTTGGTGATGTTCTGGATTAAAAATGAGTCTCGCATAGACTCCAAGAACAGGGATGCTGGGTGATTCCAATCTCCTGGAGAGAATTCATCTGCCCAGTCTATGGTTAAAGTCACCAACAATCAACGTATGCGATCTGCTGAAAGTAATGGTTGGTAAAAGGCTGTTTAGTAATTTATCATTATCAGAGGAACTTGTCGCGGCCTCATTGCCAGAAGCCGCAGATGGGTAGGTCAATGAAATACGGATGTTCTTAGTTTTACTGTACCTCTTATATTGAGTCCATCTTCACATGATGTGCTCTGCAAAACAGAGTACCGTAAGAAAGCAGAACTTATATTAACCATATGGGTAATTCTTCTGAACGTTAGCCGGCAACGACTGAGCAATTCAAGACTCTTTAGGATTATTCAGATTTCTATCTAGGCGGCAACATAAAAATATTTTGTCAAGGAAAAGTTCCGCTCAGGGTTATACAGTACAACCTGCCTGGTTAAGTTACACGAGGGAATTCAAAACAGTAATCGCTTCATAATTCATAGGCAATTTGATTAATTCGCACAATCACTTTTATATTGCAGTAAGCTAGAAAATCAGTTTTAGAAAAAACAAACATACGTTATAAATGGGGCAAAACTGCTAGGAAATGACATTTCAAGATCATTTGAGAGAGTTTAACCGGATTCAATGACGCAGAACAATTTTCAGGCCGTGCGTTATGATGAGATATAAAAATAATGCTTGAACATCCCTGTTCATATCACTGACAAATCAGGCAAAATTACACATGAAAATGATGCAAAGTTATCAGACTAACTAATATTCATGTTATCTGAGAGAAACTTAGCACCAGAATTCTTATAAAATACAGGTCAAATATGCTAAGTAATCCTGCATAGCCTATAGAACAAGTTGAGCTACTGGCCAAACAATCAATTTAATGTTGGTAGAAACGATTTCACTGAGTCGTATTGGAGACAGTTGCTATGAGTACACTTTTACAACATGAACAAAATTAGTCACGATAAAATTACTCACTATTTTGTTATCTCTACGTGTCACATCGTTGTTTATCCTGGTAACAGGGGACCCATCGACGCTCTTTTCTTCTTCTTCGGATCCGTTTTTATGAGGACTCGGTTGTTCACCACCCGCCTCACGTCTGGATGGTCAGCAATGGCCAGACTGGAGCGGCCTGTGGATAAAAGGCCAGATTAGACTTTGAAAACTTTGAGGTTGTTTTGTTAGTTCAACAAGCTACTTCAAATTAGATTAGTAAACCGAGCAATGTTAGTCACCCTTACCTATCGGGAGGGCCTACCCAGACAGGGAGCATGGGTCAGATGGTCCAGCCTGGGCATCGACGCTCTTTGACCGCCAAAATTTCGAGTTTAACCCGGAACGCGCATGTCCGTGTATGCGGATAAAAAAATATTAAAACTAAAACTAACAATACCTAATGCTAATGCTGTAGCAATGCTGGGATTTATCCCGGCTCAGCCCTGTTTGGTGATCTATAAGGGACCCCTATGAGGAGGCTATCATTGCCTTTTAGAGAAAGTTCGCACCACACTTATTCTCTATCTAATTGATGCTCTGCAGTTAACATAACTTGATTGACCCCATAAGAGGTTTTAACCCCCAAACCTCTGCTGCACTCATCTTCATTTTAAGTGATGAAAATAATCAAAACCTGGCAACTGAAATTCAACAGGTCCAATTTTCCCCCGGGATTTTTAGGGAGTGTTTCTGTAATACAAATTATGTCTATACACTCGATTGCGATCACAGTTCACAGTTCACTTTTTTTTCAAAACAGAATCCGAGTACGTACTAAAACGTTCTAAAATATTTTGTGCACTTTCTCTTTGATGTATGATGCGGTTACTTCCAACATTATTTACAGGCCTTGATATACGGACATCATTTATACTAATTCCTTGTCCTCCATCTCCTCTGACTGACGTGGGTGGCCGGTGTTGTCTTGACAGCTTGAAACTGATTGACCTGATTTTCCGTGCCTTTCTGTCTGACTCTCTTCTGCCTTCAGTACGCTCTGCTGTCGCGTTTATAAAATAAATATTAACGCGAAGGAACAGGAAACAGAAACTTCTCGCCAACCTCGAGGATTTTTCCGCGAGTTGGAAACAGAACCGACGCCGCCCTTCATTCAAACTGAACGTGCTCTGCGGCTCGAGAACGCTGCAGCTTTTTGTGCTCTTAGTTCGCGATTAAAATTTGTTATTAGCATAAACAATCATTTAAATTGTGCCTGAACTATTGAGTTTGATATCCAGTAGGAGCGAGAACATTTCTTTGTGAGATTAGCTGAACTGTGTTGTGTTGAACCGAAAAGCTTGTGGGTGAC